GTGGGTGTAGGTGTGTACCCACACCCACACCCACACCCACACCCACCCAAAGTAATCAATTTAAGGACTGAAGATTTCAAGACTACATAGGACTAGCGAGAACTCGTGCATACTGCACGGTTCATTTCTTCTTTAATAAATGACTTCAGCTGTTTAATTTTTGATCAGATAATAGACATACAGATATGCGATATTATGTATACAGAACAAACTCTTACAGCCTAATAGTCGTATACCGCACATATTTTTATAGTCCAAGTAGCCTTTATATCCGTTGTACTTCCTGTAGCCTTGCCCGTTTATTAACGTACATCCTTCAGGGCCTATGGGTGCCCTCATATAACAGTCCTTGAGAACCTATAGGTACCCCTCATATAATAGTTTTTAAGGGCCAATAGGTACCTTCATAGAATAGTCCATAATTACCTATGACTACCTCCATATAATAACCCTTGAGGGCCTCTAGGTACCACCATATCATAACCCATCAGGACCTATGGGTACCTTCATATAATAGTCCATGAGAATCTTTAGTATTGTGGTTCTTGATCCCTTCCCTTCAAGCATTATATGACCATTAACCATTGACCGTTAGTTTTTAACCTTTAATCCGACACAGACAGACACTGACCATTAAATATATAGATTCCCTGGGATTTCTTCTGATTTCTCTGAATTCCACGATTCCAATATTCACCCCTTGCAGTAATCTCTATTCAATATGTGGATCTGGTTCTGTGTGTAGTTAATACTATCGTAATTTTATCTCTTGTATGAGATTGATTACACTGTGTACTCTTCTTTGTTTATCTACAGTGATTATGGTCATTGATTTGATTGTTCGGATATCTTGTAATGTAAGTCCATTATTAAAACCTTAAATTAGTGAAGCTGAAGTTCTGATTGGTGCTACTAGGGTGTGGATGTCGGTGTGGGTGGCTCGAAACCTGTTTTGTATAAACACATACACTGATATCCACACACCCACATCCGAGCTTTCATAGGAGTAAGTTAGCTTATATATTGAATTGAATGTTTATGTGTGTAGTTGGTGTATGATTGAATATTTTAGAAAGTTTTCCTTGTAATGCATATGCACGCTGTTCGTGCATATTATTTTCTCGTTGAAGGATGATATAGGTAATTTGTTCGAGTGATTGTGGATTTTTATGATGAGATTTAGTTGATTGAAGTTTTTTTTTTTATGGTATCTAGTTTGGTATAATTTTGTACGATTTCTTCGGCTTTAGTAATTGTTTGTTCAGCAATATGTTTGACTGATGATGCTTGTTCTTAAACGCTGAGTGACATGAATGCATGGTAGATATTCAGTAATTGTTTGCCCTGAAGACCATATGATAAATCTTGTGCATGAACTTCTAGCCATTTCTTAAATAAAACAACTTCATCGATTATGTTTTGCTGTTCATTGATAGCTTTTCATATAATCTTTGTTAAGTTTATCTAAACTTCGATGTTGTTTTTCAAAATTTAGGTAAGATTTAAGTGTACTTACTTTCGTTTGTCTTGGCTTTAGTTCATAAAAGTTTTCAATGAGTTGATGTTCTTCAGCATCTAGTCGAAGCATTGTTTTTCGTCTTTCAAGTTCAAGTCCTAATTGATGTTGATTCCTTTTGATTAAATTATTGATGATATTGATCATACATTCCATATCAATAAAGAGTGATGCTTTTTTCATATGTTCATGAATAGCCTCTTGGGCTTCTTCACATTGTAGTTTATATTTATGAAGACGTTGCTTGATCAAAGTTTTAGATCGACCATATGTATAACACATTGAATTTGCATCAGCCATTTTTTTCGATACTCGACCGTTTCAAATACCTTCGCTCATACCAAGATTATTATAATAAGACCATTGTTCATGTTGCAATTGAGAATAATCTAATTTGTTGACTAATTGTGTAAGATGTTGAATAAATAATTACATTTCTTTATGATTCAATAATTCAACAAATGCAGTAGTATTAATATTATTTGACATGTATGCTAATAACATTTCTTTAAATCTGCTGTCTGGTATTGTGAAACAATCCTGTAATAAGAGTGTTGGATCAACACTTGTTGTTAGGTTCACCAGATTATTGTTTTGTTTCATTGGCAAATCTTGTGTTATGGATACATTCTGTAACTGTGCACTTGGTTCGCTAGTTGCTAATTGAAATTGGTTACTGACAGAGACGTTTTTCTTTTTCAAAAGTAATCGGCGATTTGGGTGTGAGCTTCGATGGAGTCTGGCTGGGTGTGTTGGTGTCAGTGTTGTCTCTCTTAATCTGCATCCTTGAATCCACAATGAGACCAACAGATCCACACAGATCCCATCGAAACTCACACGCAAACCCATACCCACTCACGAGGGAACATTTTCAGGTGCTAAAAAGCTTTTCAACCGGGGATGTGATAACTAGATAGGGCATAGCTAGCAGTGATACACCCTAAGTTAGTTCGCGCCCAAGTTGAGATTTGGCTGAGATATCGACTTTTTACTAGAATTTGCCTATGGGACCCCATCTTTCCCATGAAATCAAAGTTTTGAATTTTGAGGTGAGACTTTGCCCATATCAAAGGCCTCGGCTATGGTAGTTCATCCACAAAGTTTCAGAATTTTTGGGCTAAGCATTCCCGAGATTTGAGTCTGTTAGTATAAACACAGTTTTTTACGGATATTGCTGTATGCATGGATATTTTGAAAACATTATATCTCGGGAATGCTTAGCTTGAAAATTCTGAAACTTTGTGGATGAACTACCATAGCCGAGGCCTTGATATGGGCAAAGTCTCACCTCAAAATTCAACACTTTGATTTCATGGGAAAGATGGGGTCCCATAGGCAAATTCTAGTAAAAAGTCGATATCTCAGCCAAATCTCAACTTGGGCGCGAACTAACTTAGGGTGTATCACTGCTAGCTATGCCCTATCTAGTTATCACATCCCCGGTTGAAAAGCTTTTTAGCACCTGAAAATGTTCCCTCGTCAGACACACACACACACCCTATGTATGCCGTTCATTCAATATTCAAAAACGTCAAGTCGATGCCAGTTAAATTCGAATACACAGAAATAATTGATAATGAAGATGTACAATTCAAAATAATCCCCAAAACGACCAATGCTGAAAGAACCCAAATTCAGGTGATTGCGAACGGTGTTCAACTAGGTAGTCAGAATAGCACAAACGACTATGAAGGTCAGTTAGCAGCAAACAGTGAGGAACAAACCTACGAATATGAATTTTGCCTCGACTATTCAAAGAAAAGCAATTCTTACAAAAGAAGACGATGTAAAGAATAATGTATACAGTTAAAACTTCGAATCTATAACCCAAAAAAACACAACAAATGAATACCGGTTTAACTTTTGTCATGATTAGTTAATGTCAACCAGAATATTTCAATTTCTTTGAGAACTTAACGAAATTTATCTTTCACAAATAAAGAGCATTTGTTGAATTTCACAAAAGATAATCCTACTAATACAAGGTACGTCGGTAATCATATTCTCCAAATAGTGCACCTTTCTACAAACCTTTACTCATGTACAACAATTCTTTCCGCTGTCACAAACGTAGTCCACACTTTTAAGAAGGCAATTTCTGTATAGATTTTTCCAGCGGTAATTTCAGTTTGTCATTCCTTATGAACTCGATCTTTTATAAAAATTTCCTTCTAAAAACATGATGCAATTCCAAATACAAATTCTCCGACGCAGCTCACTTTCTTTTATTTTCACAAACTAACTTCTAATCTCAAGAAAATGCTCTTCTCGAAAAAACGCCAGGAGTTGATGCTGCTAGAATCGGACAACCATTGCGTTAAGTTATCTACTCGATCGATAATTAGAAGGCAAGGTTCTGGCGCTGTGGCTTCCTTTTTTCAATCAAAGAATGCTTCATCACTTGCTCCAAAGTGTCTTTACCTTAGCCTCAAAAAAAACGAATGCTTCATTTCGACCATCTCCAAATGAGGTACTACGAGGGCACTTGTCAAACGCACAGCTCCCAACTGTAAAACTTTGAGACAACATCTGCTTTTCTATCTCATAATAGAATAAAGTATTCTTAAGGTAGAGATCGTATGAAACAGAAACAAGACTGAAAAGAAAACTTTACGCCTCAGTATTGCGCAAGAGCTAGATTGCATTATGAAACTCGATATTTTACAGCAGGCATGTTACTTGCACAATCTCTATTCGTTACAACTTCAATAGCTAATAGATGCTGATACACAACAGTGAGCTGCGATCGATGGCCAACAACTGAATATTACGAGACTAAAGCTTAATATTGGTTCTTCGGAACCACGGTTGTCGATCAATCCGACACTCGCTGTTTTTTTTCTTCTTCAATGGTGCTTCTCGTGGAAGCAGTATTAGATAATGCGGACTATCGTAGGAGAATGGTGTCAAATATAGAGTACTTTTCGTTTTGGTTATTTATTCTCTTTCTATATGAGTTTTTGTAAGAAGACTTTTTATTATATTTATGATGTTGCTTAACATTTCGATTGATGATATCGATCTTCATCAGAAGTCGGACAGGTAAGATGTTAAGAATCAAAACGGTGAAAACGTTAGTGATAAAACATATACAGACATGCATGGATAAGACATTTATCTCTCTTTATGATTCATGCAATGGTCAATTTTATTCTTTCCTTTGTATATACAGGTACGGAGCAGACGGTGAACTGGACTTTCTTTCTGTTTTGTTTGTTGCTTTCCGTACCAGTATTACCGTCTTGTCCTATCTGGTGTATAGTGGTTGCTGTTGTGCTTGTGAGGTGTTGTCTCTGCTTGAAATTTATTTTTTTCTTGATCATTTCTCTTTCTTTGAGTAATATGTTATACCACATGTTGTTTAATTTTTCATGTTTGTTAATTCATTGGTTTATGAAAGAGTATATTGATTCTTTGATTTTTCTTTTTTTGTGGTTTATTTCAGTATCGATGTGGCATCCTTCCACTGAGTCAAACATACATGGACATTTTTTATCGTGGTGGTGTTGAATAATTTCAGATTAGCTTGGTTGGTCGTATTTCTCAATTGTTTTTTCGTGTTGTTTCATTCTATTGATGATTCTAACTTTTTTTTCACCGTTATACACAGCTCGACATTGGCAATCCATCTGATATACGATGGACTTTGATTGTGGTTTCATATTTGTTGTTGTAAGTGAGTTTAGTTTTTCATTGTATGTGAAATACAGTTTGATGTTCAAGTTTTCCAATTTACCTTTTAGTACTTCTATACCAGTTCCGTATGGTAGTGTTAGGCTTGTCGTCTCTTGTTTCTTTTGATTTTCTTGATTTGCTTCTTGTTGCTTTTCTTTGTTGTCTTCTTGTAAGGTTTCCCTTATTATATTTGTGATTAGAGATCGTGGACAGTTCGATTTCTGTAACATTATTTCTAATTTTTGAAGATCTTCATATCTTTGTACATTGTTTTTAGTGATAGAGATTATTCGTTGCGTCATGTTCTTAACTATGTTGTTTTTAGTATATTTGTTATGGCATGAATTGTAATCGAGGAATCTCGCTGGCTGTTTCTTTCCGATACCAGCGTGTATCTATACTTTTGTTGTTGTCATTTCTCGTTAATTTTGTATTCAGGTAATTTATTTGTTTATTTTGCTTGTATTCGTATGTGAATTTTATGCTGTTGTTATTTATGTTCAGTTCATCGACATAGGTTTTAAATTCTTCTTCTTTCATTTTGGTGATGATAAATAGATCATCTACATATCTCCATAGTTTTTCTTTGATATTGTTCATATATTTATTAATGTAGTCGTGCATAAACAAATCTCCCAAGAATGGTGGCAGAACATTGCCCATCGGTAGTCCTTTGCTTCATTCATAATAATTCCCATGGAATGTTATGTAATTGTTGTTGAGGCACAATGAGAGTAGTTCTCTCATGTCAGACTTGGATAAGTTGGGTGTGGGTGTGGGTGTAGATAGGTAATTCAAGAAGATCCTACATCCATACCCCGGCAGCCACAGCCATTGTTTGTGGTTTCTTGCATTTTATCAATGTTATTTGTTGATATTGTTTTCAAGATTATTTATTTTTTGTATTAATCACTTCATTTGCTTTTAATATCATCTAACAATAAATGAATTTTATCAATTGATTGGATTTTGTGATTTGACTTATCAAGAACATTTTCTAAATCAGTGTGTATGGATTTTTGTATAATTTCAATTATTGATATTCGATCGGATAATAAATTCATACTGGTGAATATGGCTTGACGCCATCCTTTTTGTGTATCATCTGCATGGTAAAACAACAATCTACCTATGTTAAACAATGTATTCAACAAAAAAACGACAATAATCTTCGTTTTCTTGAGCAACATCTGAATTCTTGAGAATTTGAATCATATCACATTCGACGTTAAATGGCATTGAAAAGCCAGCAAGTTCAATACATAAAAATGTTATTGATGTTAATGCTCATAGGGTGTGGGTGTGGGTGTGGGTG